AGAATACTATTCCGTGATAAAGAATTACAGCGAATCCATGTAACATCTCATAACATGGATGAATCTGGAAGGCATGCTGAGTGAAATTAGTCACAAAAGGACAAATATTGTATGAAACTAGTATTATAAGAACTCAAGAAGAGGTTTAAACACAGAAGAAAACATTCTTTGATGTTTATGAGGGTAGGGAGGGAGGGAGAGGGGTATTCATTAACTAGATACTAGACAAGAATTACCTTAAGTGAGAAAGGTCATAGAAGCTCCATAGACACATCCAAACTCCCAGAGGGACCAAATAGCTGGGTGGAGGACTGTGGAGACCATGGCTTGGGGAACATATAGCTCAATTGGCATAACATAGTTTATAAAGAAAACGTTCTACATTCTACCTTGGTGAATAGTGTCTGGGGTCTTAAAAGCCTGTGAGCAGCCATCTAAGGTACTCCACTGGTCTCACCCCTTCGGGAGCAAGGGAGAATGAAGAAAACAAGATACAAGGGAAAGATTAGTCCAAAGGACTAATGGACCACAACTACCACAGTCTCCACCAGATTGAGTTCAGTACAACTAGATGGTGCCCAGCTACCACCACTGACTGCTCTGACAGGGATCACAACAGAGGGTCCCAGACAGAGCTGGAGAAAAATGTAGAATAAAATTCTAACTCACAAAAAAAAGACCAGACTTACTGGCCTGACAGAGACTGGAGAAACCCTGAGAGTATGGCCCCAAACACACTTTTAGCTCAGTAATGAAGTTCACCCTTCAGCCAACGATTAGACAGCCGCCATAAAACAAAACAAGACTAATGGGGCACAACAGCCCAGGGACAAGGACCAGAACCTAGGAGGGGAAAAAAACAAGATACAAGGAAAGATTAGTCCAAAGGACAAATGGACCGCAACTACTACGGTCTCCACCAGAAGAAAGCTAGTAATAAGGAACCCACGTTTAAAAAGGGAGAATGTGACATGTCATGGCTTGTTAACCAGTGTCATAAAACAATACGTGTACTGTTTAATGAGAAGCTATTTGTTCTATAAACCTTCATCTAAAGTACAATTTAAAAAATTAAAGAAAAAAAACTCGAACAGCAAAAACAAAAAGAATTACCTTAGGTTAAAAGAAGGACAGCACATACTACAGGGGAATTCAGGACAACTGGACTAAACTAAAAGCTAAGAAGTTTCCTGAATACAACCAAACACTTCAAGGGACAGAGTAGCAAGGGCAGGGGACTGGGGACCATGTTTTGGGGGGACATCTAGGTCAATTGGCATAATAAAGTTTATTAGAAAATACAGTGCATCCAACTTTGGTGAGTGGCATCTGGGGTTTTAAAACCTCACGAGCAGCTGTCTAAGATGCATCAATAGTTTCCAACCTACCTGGAGCAAAGGAGAATGAAGAACACCAAAGACACAAGGAAAATATTAGCCCAAGAGATAAAAAGACCTCATAAACCAGAGACTCCATCATCCTGAGACCAGAAGAACTACATGGTGCCCTGCTACCACCATTGACTGCCCTAACAGGGAATACAACAAAGGGTCCCTGACAGAGCAGAAGAAAAGGGAGGTGCAGAACTAAAATTCTGGTAAAGAGCCCAGACTTAATGGTCTAATTGAGACTGGAAGGACCCCAGAAGACATGGCCCCAGAACTCTCTGTTGGCCCAAAACTATAACCATTCCCAAAGCCAACTCTTCAGACAAAGATTAAACTGGACTATAAGACATAAAATGATACTCATGAAGAGTGTGCTTCTTATTCTTAGCTCAAGTAGATACATGAGTCTAAATGGCAGCCACAGTCAGGAGGTGTGATGAGAAGGCAGAAAGGGACAGGAGCTGGTTGAGTGAACACGGGAAATCGGGTGGAAAGTAGGAGCGTGCTGTCACAGTATGGGGAGAGCAGCTAGGATCACATAGCAGTGTGCGTATAAATTTTTGTATGAGAAACTAACTTGAGCTGTAAACTTTCATTTAAAGCACAATAAAAAAAATCATCTGCCAAAAATATTAAAATAAAATAACTATGATTAATGTGCTAAGAGCTCTAATGGAAGAAGTGTACAACATAAAAGAACAGATGAGTAGTATAAGCTGAGAGATAGAAACTTTCTTACTTAAAGAACTGAAATAAAATGCTAGAACTGAACTGGAGATAATGGCTGTAACAGAAATGAAGAATACCTTTGATGGGCTCATCAGTAGACTGGACACCACCAAGGAAGGAATCAGTGAGCTTAGAGATATGTCAATGGAAATGTCCCAAACTGAAAAGCAGAGAGAGAGAAGAGTATTAGAGGGGAAAAAAATTAAAAGACAGAATATCCAAGAACTACAGGACAATTACAAATGGTTTAACATACACATAATGAGAATACCCAAAGGAGAAGAAAAGTTTGAAGTAATAATGGCTGAAAATTTTCCAAAATTAGTAACAGACACCAGACCACAAGTCTTGGTAGCTCAGCGAACACCAAGCTGGATAAATACCAAGAAATCTACACCTAGACATATCATATTCAAGCTGCAGAAAATCAAAGACAAAGAGAGAATCTTGAAAGAAGCCTGAGGAAAAAAAAGAACATTTTATCTACAGAGGAACAATTAAAGAAATTACAGCAGACTTCTTTTCGGAAACAATACAAACAGGGAGAGTAGAGTGAAGCATTTAAAGTGTTGGGAAAAAAAAAGAACCACCAACCTAGAATTGTGTATCCAGCAAAATTAGCCTTCAAAAGTGAAGGAAATACTCTCAGAAAAAAAAAATGAGGGAATTTTTTTGCCATTAGACCTTCCTTTCAAGAAATGTTAAAAGATCTTCAGAGAGAAGGAACATTATATACATCAGAAACTCAGATATCATAAAGTAAGGAAGATCATTCAAGAAAAAAATAAATGAAGGTAAAATGAAATATTTTATTTTTAATTAATCTAACAGATATCAGTCTTTTAAAATTAATGATAGCAACAATCTGTTCAGTGTTTCTAACTTACGGGTAAGTAAAATTAATGACACCAATGCTATTAGGAATGTGAGAGTGGAATTGGTAATATTCTGTAATTAGTAATACCTGTACGGTCCATGAAGTGGTATAATGTTATTTGAAGATACTCTTAGAAAATGTATATTGCAAACTCAAGGGCAACCACTAAAAAAAATGTTAGCCCAAGAGACAAAAGGACCACATAAACCAGAGACTCCATCAGCCTGAGACCAGAAGAACTAAATGGTGCCCAGCTACCACCAATGACGCCCTGACAGGGAACACAACAGAGAGTCCCTGATGGAGCAGGAGAAAAGTGTGGTACAGAACTCAAATTCACATAAAAAGACCAGACTTAATGGTCTGACTGAGACTAGTGAAACCCCAGAAGACATGGCCCCCAGACGGTTAACCCAGAGCTAAAACCATTCCTGAAGCCACCACTTCAGACAAAGATTAGACTGGACTATAAAACATAAAATAATACTTGTGAAGAGTGTGCTGCTTAGTTCAAGTAGATACATGAGACTAAATGGGCAGCTCCTGACCAGAGGCAAGATGCGAAGGCAGAAAGAGATAGAAGCTGGTTGAATGAACATGGGAAATCCGGAGTGGAAAGGTGGAGTGTGCTGTCACATTATAGGGATTGCAGCTAGGGTCACATAATAATATGTGTATAAATTTTCATGTGAGAAATTAACTTAAGCTGTAAACTTTCACCTAAAGCTCAATAAAAAATATATATATGTGTAATTCATTTTAGAAAAAATATATAAATTATTTCTCATTCTCGAAAACAACAAATCTTTAGCCTCAGTTGAACTTGTTAGTGATTATGGAGAAAAGAGAAAAAAAAAAAAACATGTAAAAGGCTAGAAATTTATTGTCAAAGATTATCTGAAAGTCATGGAGTAATTGGGAGTTTTGTAATATTTTTGTTCTCTGAAATAAAATACATCCCAGCCAGCCCTGTCCCCTCACCCTTATACTGGATATCCACTACCAGTTTTGTTGTGGTGTTCAGTTTTTGCATATCCAACTTTAGGAAATGTTTTTCAAGAACTCATTATGTACCAAAGTTGGGGCCTAGTACTGACAGTGTTGTGTTTAGTCCTATAGTAACATACATTTTATATCTTCTTACAAGGGAAAAAAAAAATAAGACTGAGTGGGTATATTCATATTAATGATGGGACTGTAAATTGATGAAATCCTTTTGGAAAGAACGTTGATTTTATATTAAAGAGCATTAAATAGTTATACCACTTAACCTAGTGCATCTTCTGTGCTTAAAAATTTAACATGAATAGTACTTTAAGAAAAAATGTCTAAAATACAAAAGAAGTTTGTTGCAGCATTATTAGTCAGAATTTGATATCCTAAACATCACTATGATGAATATAAATTAAATTATAGTACATTGGCTTGTTAGACAGTTTTGTACTATTAAAAATATAAATTCAAATACTCCAGCCACCTGGAAAAATGATTATGATGTAAGATTAAATGAAGAAGGATAATGTAAAATTATACATAGGAAATCAGATACATAGATTATGTATGCTTACAAACAGACTGGAAAGAAATATGTAGACATGAAAAAATTACTAAATTATAATGTGATTGTGAATGATTTGTTAAAATTTTTCTTAATGTTATTTTCATATTTAGCTAATGAATTTTTATTAAAAGAAGCTAATTTTATATCACATTGTTTCTTAGACCAACAAATAGTAAGAAAATTTAGGTACCCGCATCTCTAGAATTGTTAACTAATATTGTGTTTAAAATGTTACTTTCCTGTTCACATCATCTTTTTTTATTATTATAAAGAATAACAATATCAGTTGAATCATTTTTAAAACCTTCAAAATTATATGAGGAAAACTTTTCAGGTTAGTTTATATAAGGGAAAGTTTGTGTGCTGTATCTGTGCTACTGCATTTTGAGTGATTTCGGTTTGTTGGAAAATTTTCTAAATTTTAATGAAATCTGTTTTTCTTTAGCTTGACAGGGCCAATTCGCTATTAAACCAAGCACAGCAGCCTTACAGATATCTTATTGAATCAGTGCGTCAGAGAGATTCCAAGATTGATTCACTAAAGGAGTGTATTGCACAACTGGAGAAAGATGTCAGGTGAGCTATCTACAAATCTTTTATTTGGATAGTAGTGATATTGTAAATATATGCTGCTATAGGCACATTCAAGTTGTAAATTGTAAAGAAAAAATGTAAATAATGAAGGTTGTCTGAAATGGAATGTGATTTCCCTTTAGAAAAACTAGATCACATCATGTCAGGTGTTCACATTCCGCCTTATAATCAGAATTCTTACCTTGAAAATAAGTCCTACACTTATTAACAAAACACTCCACCTGCCTAGAGCACAAAGCAGCTATCACGTGAATTGACTGTAAAATTATTTTAATGTTTGCTTATATTTTGCACCCATTATTTTACTGAAATGAGTAAAAAAAATGCTGAAATAAATGATGTTTAAGTCTTCATTTTTAAAAAGTATGTAGATCTCATAAATGTGTAATTCATTTGAGAAAAAAATATAAATTATTTCTTGTCCCAGAAAACAAACAGCAAATCTTTAGCCACAGTTGAACTTGTTAGTGATTATGGAGAAAAGGGAAAAAATATTTAAACATGTATAAAAGGCTAAAAATTTATTGTCAAAGAGTATCTAAAAGTAATAGAGTAATTAGGAGTTTTATTCCCCTAGAATTCTTTAGTGGGAATGTGGGCTGACCAAAAGGAAGAGGAGGAATATAACCCACATGCCATTCTTGGGGTCAAAATGACTTTTTAAACAGGTAAAATGTATAACATTTACTTAGATTCATGTTGACTTTTCCAAGGAATTTTTAAGTTTTTCTTCCCCTGACCCTTTATGTGAAAACTCATGAAATACCTAAATGTAAATAAATAAATTCCTTTCCCTTCTTTAGATTGAAATTGGTTTTTTTTACATGAGACCTTATCTAAAAGACTTGTTCCATTTAGAAACTATTCAAATTCTTTAACTGTTCATCTATATGAGCATTTAAATTCTTTTAAGTTGAAGTAAAATGAATGATACTATGCTTAAAGAAAGAGGTTTCAACTTTTGGATGTCTGGTTGGTTGACTTAGTTATTAGATTTAAGATTATAAGAATAATTTAAATTTTTATGGATAAATTATTAATGGACTCACAAACATGTAAGCTGAGAGTTTTATGGGAGTGACAATTGTTAAATGAAGGAATTGGAAAACAATAAGAAAGTAGTTGTTAAATCCAGGTTTCCTAGGGTATGTGACAAAAAATATAAAACTTGGTAATTAGCTCCAAAGTATGAGTTTTCCTTTTGTTAAATCAGAATAATTACCTTCCTCTCTCATTTCTACCCCATCAAAATAATTGGTCCAGAACTTTACTCCTGGTCTTAATTTTTTAATGATTTGATAAAATATTTAAAAATCACATTTAAACATCAAAATAAATAACAGTGATTTATTTCTAGGTTTAATTTTAAGGCTAAAAATTATAGTTTGAATATGTATTACCAACATTAATTGTTCATAAATAAATATTGGGAGAAGTAGAAAGCATATCTGTCAGTATTCACCACACATTTGGTTATCTTAGGGAAATTGAGAGAGAAACTCCATATGGAGCTTTCCTATGTTACATATTTCTGTTTTTAATTTTTTTAATAATAGTTTTGTTATATCTTTATAGTCTTGGAGGGAAGGATATATGAAAAACATGAGGAAAAACTACCTCCTTCACAATTATCTTCAAATAAAGTTGAGTATTTATTTTACTGAGAATTAAAATAGGATAGCTGAAAAGTTTAATACAGAGAAAAATAACAGCTATCTATTATAGAAAATTATAAAGATGAGCAAAGTCAGCCCTAGGGAGATCAAGTAACTTGTCCTCTAAGTGCATATAGCTTTGTGGTAGAGCCAAAATTTGAATCCAGATCTGTCTGCTTTCTAATTCTGTGCTCTTAACCATTATGTTATACTGCCTCCCTATGTTCTTTTATGAATAAGGAATAATTTTTCACTGACATAATTAAGGAAGAGAAGCAAAAAGTATATCATTGTATAATAGTGATTAAAAGTAGGGCTTTGATGGGTTGATAATTGTTGGAGCTGGGTGACAGATACATTTGTTGGTATATTTTCTTTCTTCTTTTGAAATATACCATAATAAATTTTTAAAAAGTTGCTTTTAAAAATACATATTCTTAAAGGGAGCACATGTTCTATAGATAGGTTGCATGGGTTCACATCTAGCTCAATACTTACTTTTGAATTTCAGCAAGTCACTTAAACCCTCTAAACATCTGCTGTCCAGTAGAAATTTCTGTAATGGTGAAAATGTTTCACGTCTGCACTGTCCAATATGGCAGCTGCTAGCCACATGTGCCCTGGTGATGCAGATAGTTAAGCACTCAGCTGCTGGCCAAAAGATTGGCTGTTTGGACCCACTCAGCCACTTCGTGGGAGAAAGACCTAGCAATCTGCTTCTGTAAAGATTACAGCCAAGAAAACACTATGGGGCAGTTCTGCTCTGGCATTTGGCATCACTGTGAGTCAAAATTGACTCAGTGGCACACAGTAGTCACGCGTGGCTCTTGAGCATTTGAAATGTGGCTTGTACAACAGAGGAACTAAATTTTGATTTAATTTATTTTTATTTTAATTGCCATTTAGGGCTAATGGCTACAGTATTACACGATGTAGTCAGTTTCCTCATCTGTAAAATGAGAGTGATGCTAACAGCATCTAATTCATATGGGTATTGCAGTGCAGTGAATTACTTAATATGGCCCTTCTAGCCATAGTCTTTGTAACTCCCACCAAATGACTAGGTGGGACTATGCAAATGAAGTACTTGTAGCCCACCAAGGAGATTGGATAGTGTTACAGATTGAATTGTGTCCCCCAAAAATGTGTATCAACTTGGCTAGGCCATGATTCCCAGTATTGTGTGATTGTCCACCATTTTGTCATCTGTTGTGATTTTCTTATGTGTTGTAAATCCTGCCTCTATGATGTTAATGAGGCAAGATTAGAGGCAGTTATGTTAATGAGGCAATGACTCAATCCACAACATTAGGATTGGTCAGTTCTGCAATCTGGCTAGGCTTAAAATGAGCCATCCCAGAGGCGGGAAGGGAGGATCTCACCACCACCGAGAAAAAAGAGCCAGGAGTGGAGTGTGTCCTTTGGACTTGGGATCCTTGCCCTGAGAACCTTCTAGATCCAGGGGAAAGAGAGAGCTGTAACACCATAGACAGAGAGAGATGGCAAGAAGCAGCAGCAGAGAAACAGCAGGACCAGGAGACTAGCAGGAGATAGTGTGGTGGGCTTCCTGGCCCACGTAGCAGAAAAGCTGAGCACCTTCAGGCAGGAGGCTTGCTAGTAGAGTGGGGTGTCTTCAGACACTTTTTGGAGTTAGGCTCACAGCCTACAAAGCAAGAGAGCTGAGCGCCCTTGGGCAGGAGGCTTCCTTGTGGAGTGGAGTGCCTCCAGGCACTTGGCAGCTGAGCTAGGCTCAGCCACTGAGTGAAAGAGCTGCGCACCTTCGGACAGAGGCTTACTGGTGGAGTGGGGTGCCTCCAGGCACTTATCAACAGAGCTAAAAGAGCTTTGTAACACTTGACTGAGCAGGGCAGAGGCCGAGAGGCCAGAGGGAGGTGTGCCTGTGGGCACGGCTGAGAAGAGGCTGTCCTGATAGAAAAACTGTATCCTGAGCATTCCTGAACCTGAGTTGTAACCTGTTACTTCCCTGATAAACCCCATAATTGTGATTATTCCCCATGAGTTCCATGTGGCCTTTGCAACAAATTATTGAATCCAGAAGAGAAGTAGGGAGTGCTGTGGAAGGGACAGTTGGTGTCAGAATTGGTAAAAAGATTGGAGAGAGGAGGCATGTCTGACCTCTGCCTCATAGGAATCAGCCTTGGGCCGTTGATCTTAATTCTCCCCTTGTGAAGTTAGAATAGGTCAGGTGCCGCACCCACACCATTTTTACAGCTGTTCTGAGGACTAAATGATATAGTCCTTGCAATATATGTAACACAATGCCTAGAACATTGTATAGGCTTGATAAATATTTGCTGTTATTAGTATTTATCATATATTTAACTAATTTTTACATTGAAAATTATCTTAAAAGTGACAAAGTTTCCCCAAATATGTTGAATATGGACAAAATTAGAACTTCCATACTAATAGCAACAGTAATCATTAAAGCTATGCTAATTATGGAGTTAACAGATAATTTTTTTTTACTAAGCATCTGAGTCCTTTACAGCTGTCTGTGTTTCATAAATTTATTGTACAATATTTTAGTAGATTCTGAATTGATATTTCTCAGCATATGAAATCTTACTCTTAATTGAAGCAACTACCTTCTAATGAAAGGAGCCCTAGTGACACAATGGTTAAGCACTCAGCAGCTAACTAAAAGGTCAGCTGTTCAAACCTACCGTGGGAGAAAAGACCTGGTAAACTGCTCCTGTAAAGATTACAGCCCAGGAAACCCTATGAGGCTGTTCTACTCTGTCCTATAGGGTTGCTATGAGTCAGAATCCACTCAGTGGGACCAAACAACAACCTTCTAATATGAAAAATTAAGATGCTTTTAGTCGTTTAATTATGGCCTTTGAGATGCTGCTGTAGGTATTCTCTGGTTACCTTAGAAATGATGTGATGTGATAGTGCCATAAAAAAGTCAGCCCAGTCAACTAGTCAGATGTAACAGGATAGGTTACAGTCCTGTGTACCCTCGCCCCTTCTCTGAGCCAATGACATTTCAAATCCTATAGTTAGGCTTCTAGAGATACAGTGGAATTAACCTGTACTTTGAAAGCACGTCAACCTTGTTTCTTTTCTCACTGTAAAACTTTTGGTAAAATATATATATTAATTTGAACATCAAGGGATAGTTTTGAAACTTAAGTGAAGTAATATATAGAAGGCTTCTGGCACATAGGGAAAACTTAGTAATGTTGCTTCCTCTTCTCTTAATTCAGAATTTAAAAATTAAGATGACCTATCCAAAAAGATTGCTAAGTTACTATGTTACTTGAAAATTCCTATTTTTCTTTGCTGGATATTTATTTTAATTGTAAAGAATATTTACATTAACTGACTGTAAAAATGTGTCTCTAGCTTATAAATTAAAAGCTCTTTAAAGAACTGAATAATTTTATGGTCTTCTTAGAAAATTAAACCATACCACTATACCACAGCCACCCCTCACAAATTTTGCTATTTATACAATATATTCAGTGTCTAGAAAGGTTGCAGTAAATATGCACTAAAATGAGATCATTATAAACATGTTCAGAGCTAACATTTGAGATGTCACTATTTACTTTAAATTACCCTATCATTAAAGTAATAATCTGTCTTAAAAATAATACAATACCTCTCCTCCACCAAGCCACAAGAGACAGTCTGGATTATATAGTTTGATCTATAGTTCTGTTGTCAGTTCTCAGTTTATTCTTAACTAGTAGTTAAAGACCACTAGTTAGAGACTACATTGTTAACTTCTCTTGTAAGGCTAAGCCGCAGGGTATATCGATCCAGGAAGTTAAGGCGCAATATATCAGAAATATGTTTTTTTCATATAGTAGGTGAAACAGAGCCATAAACATGAGTTTCTGAGTGATAATTAACAGTGAATTAAACAATTATGGGTGTAGTATACCATTCAAGTTAGATGTGCTTATAAGGAGATTTGTAGTTGCTTTATGAGTCATACATAGAAGCTTTGTATTTTTAAAGGTAAGTTTCCAGTGTTATGAAATGTCTCTCACAAAGACCAACCTTCTGTTGAGTAATTACATACATAGTGGAAGAACACTAGTATACTCATCATCATATTCAGTTTTAGGGACGTACATGTTGAAGATGGTCTCCCTTGTTATTTAAGAGTATATTATTAAGAATATTTAAGAGAAAACTAAGACTTTGAAAATACATACCCATATATTCTAATGATAGAAATATTGTCTATGGATTCTGTACTGTTTGTGATAAACTGACATCTTACAGATACAACAGAGTTGTTCTGTAAATTAGTTTATCTACCCACCATTTAGTCCATGTTATACAGTTTGTTTTTTTACTTAAATATAGAGTATTCTTGAAAAAAGTTAAACATTACATATAAATCACATCTAAGGAATTATTCAGTCAAAAACTTTTAATCACCTCAGCATTCCATTCCTATTACACTACATTTTATTTAATAAGCCTGTTGGTAGTTGGGAGTTTTATGTGTGTGAGTTAATGCACTGCATGTCAGTATATGTTTATATACTCTGTGTACATTGTGTAAATATGAACACATATTCCTTGAAAATCGCTTTTCCTTTTTACTATATGTTTATTTTAATTGTGAAAAATATTTTCTCTTGAAACAATTCAAGCTAAAGATAGATTAGAATTCTGGAGTTAAAGAAACGTGATACTTACCATGTTTTGGGGGACTCCTGCAGAATATGGCACTCAGTTTTCTTATACCATATAGTTCTTTTCAACTCAGCTCAGTAGGATCTCTGGCACCTAACTCCAAAAGTCAATTTGTTTTTCTGCTGAGCTGCTTATGTTTATTAGCATTTAATTACTGTTTTCCTCTGATGCCTGTTTTTCATCTAAATTAGTAATACTGTGTAACATTTATATAGAGTTTTATGTGTTCCATGCTTTATATAATCATTCATTAGATAATTCACATATCCTTTGACATACGTGAGTATTATTTTCCACTTTTACAGATGTGAAAACTGAGGTTTGTTGGGCTTTATACAACACGGTTGAGTCAGTGGCACAGCTGGAAACAAATCAGAAATGCATCTAGTCTTTATTCTCAGAGAACAAACTGTGATGATTCATAAGGAAGCTCTCAATTATTCACAGGGAGGAGAATGTGGGCTTTTTCCTCTTAAATCCCTAGAATTAACCAGTTCTTCCACAAACTCTACTATTACTCCTTGCATTAAAAAAAATTTAGCCTAATATTTTAAAAACTGGAGGCTTTGGTCTCTGTTAGCCTGGAGCAACAGAGGAATAAGGGGAGTCAGGAATAGGAAGAGGAAATGGAATGTGTGGCTAACTGCCTCCATGAACAACTGCTTCCTTTCCATGAGACCAGAAGAACTGGATGGTGCCCATCTACCATTACTGAACATTTTGATCAAAGATTCTATAGAACCAGATTTACTGGTCTGATCAAGATTGGTGGAATCCCTTAGACTATGGCCCTTAGACACCCTTCAAACATGAAACTGAAACCACTCCCGGAGATCACCTTTCAGCCAAACAGTAGACAGGTAAACAGTAATACCCGTGAAGAACATGCTCACCAGAACAATCAACCCTATGAGACCAAAAGGGCAGTATTTGCCCAAAAGCAAAGTTCAGAAGGCAGAAAGGGGCAGGAAACAAGGACTTCCAGGGAGGAAGTGAGGAGAGTGCTAACACATTAAGGGGATACCAGCCAATGTCACAAAACCAGCTGTGTATAAATTGTTGATTGGGAAACTAGTTTGCTCTGTAAACTATCGCCTAAACCACGATAAAATGTTCAAAAAGAAAAAGATTCTATAGAAGAATCCTGATCAAAAGAGGGAAAATGCAGAACAGAATTTCAAATTTCATGGACTCCAGACTTCCTGGAGTCATGAAGGTTGGCCGAGTCCCTGAAACTATTGCCCTAAAATAATCTTTAATCCTTAAACCAAAAATATCTCCCAATGTCTTCTTAAAACCAAACAACAGTTTAGCTTAACTGGTAAAAAATGTCTGCCTTAAAAACTGTCTATATGAACCCTGTGAGTATGGCCCCCAGACACTCTTGTAACTTAGTACTGAAGTCACTCCTGAGGTCCACCTTTCAGCCAAAAGATTAGACAGGCCTATAAAACAAAACAAGACTAAATGGGCACACCAGCTCAGGGGCAAGAACGAAAAGGCAAGAGGGGACAGGAAAGCTGGTAATGGGGAACCCAAGGTCGAGAAGGGGAGTGTGTTGACATGTCGTGGGGTTGGCAACCAGTGTCACAAAACAGTATGTGTATTGTTTAATGAGAAACTAATTTGTCTGTCATATAAGGTATAATTTTTAAAAAAAAGGAACCAAATGGGATTAATTTGATAACAGTAACTCAAAAGATTAGATACAAACTGGGGGCAGTGAATTTATGTTAATGGGGGAGGAACAACTCAGAAAAGGAGGGTGAGAATGGTGGCACAACTCAAATGTAATGTAATGTAATGGTACATGTAGAAACTGTTGAATTGGTGTATGTTTTCTCAACAACAACAAAATAAATAAAATTTAGGAAAAAAATATTCTTAAAGAATAACTTAAGATTTCTTACCTGTTCAGCAAAACAATCGTTAATTTTACTGTTGCAAATTTTGTCTTGATTTTGAGGAATTATGTTGCTTCAATTCATTATTGCTTTTCTTTCATTTCTTGTTATAATACTAGCAGAGTAGATTCATTCCAGTGCCTTTAGAAGCGTATTTGATTTAATGATGCTAATTAATTTATGTATGTTGAATAATAAAACCCCAGAGAGTATAAAATAGTCCCCAACTATTTATCCCGTATATTAACGTATCCTTACAGTTAGTTTCATAAGAGTTTCCCACCCTTTCCTATCAGAAAATAGGTGATATCAAAGGGAAATTCACAAAGCAGACTAAGAAACTGAAGATTGAACTACTAATTTGGAGACAAAATTCTGTTTTAGATTGTGGTAAGTTATAAAATAGGGCTCCTATTTTAAGGACTCCTAGTTTTAAGAATAAATGTTTTGATTTCCAATTTCTTTGTTGTAGAATTTGTCTATATACACTTTCTTTTTACCTTTTTTATGTCCCACATCATCTCTTTACATTTCAAAGGTAAGCATTCATCTCTAAAAGACTAATTTTATACAAAAAATAGTCAAGAAAGTATTCTCAGGAAATCATCTACACTGCACTGACAAATGATAATTTTACAAAAAAAAAAGTCTTTTTGCAAAGTAGCACTGATTAAATTGAATATAACAATAGCTGGTCTGATATCTTTAAAGAGTATAAATTTAATTTATCTTTAATTCAAACCATCAGATTTATGTTTACTGTTTTGTTATTTACTGTTAATTAAATTTGCACCAGTATGATGACTTTTTTAAACTTGATTTTTTTTTTCAGCAATTTAAATAAAGAAAAGTCAGCATTACTACAGATGAAGAATCAAATGGCATTAGATTTGGAACAGCTTCTAAATCATCGTGAGGTACTTTTTCCATTTTGTCATAATTTTACCATTTTTAGGCTTTTTCAAAGTCCATTTCGGTGAAGATTATTGGATCCCAGTTATCCATGTTGATTAATGACTTCTCACGTTTGAGTTTTACCTGTCCCTTTTTATTCAACTTATGTAATACTTTCATTTAATTCTTATTCCTGCAATGCCGCTTCTTGTGCCCCTGTACTGCCTTGTTGATATCTCTGTCATTGAATTTCCACATCATTTAATAATTATCTATTTTATCTCTTTCTCTACTAGACAGTAAATTTCTTTAGCTTACTTTTGTCTTATTCATCATTGTATGCCCAGTGCCTGGTATGCAATATTTGTGCAGCACTTTAAAGTTCATAGAGTTATTTTATTTTTTCATTTGGTCCACACCAAAAATCTTTTGCATTACAAAGAATGAGAATTCCAGAACTCTTAACTGTGCTAAAAAGGAACCTGTACATTGACCAAGAGGCAGCCGTTCGAACAGAACAAGGGGATACGGTGTGGCTTAAAATCAGGAAAGATGTGTGTCAGGGTTGTATCCTTTCACGATACTTAATCTGTATGCTCAGCACATAATCTGAGAAGCTGGACAATATGAAGAAGAACACGGCATTAGGACTGGAGGAAGACTCATTAACAGCCTATGATATGCAGATGACATAACCTTGCTTGCTGAAAGCAAAGAGGACTTGAAGCACTTACTGAAGAAGATCAAAGACTACAGCCTTCAGTATGGATTGCACCTCAACATAAAGAAAACAAAAATCCTCACAACTGGACCAATATGCAACATCATGATAAACAGAGAAAAGATTGAAGTCAAGGATTTCATTTTACCTGGATCCTCAATCAACACTTATGGAAGCAGCAGTCAAGAAACAAAAAGACATTGGGCAAATCTGCAAAAGACCTCTTTCAGGTGTTAAAAAGCAAAGATGTCACTTTGAGGACTAAGGTGTGCCTGACCCAAGCCATGGTATTTTCAGTCACCTCATATGCATGCAAAAGCTGGACAGTATATAAGGAAGACCAAAGAAGAATTGATACCTTTGAATTAAGGTATTGGCGAAGAATATTGAATATACCACAGACCGCTAGAAGAGCAAACAAATCTATCTTAGAAGAAGTACAGCCAGAATCCTCCTTAGAAGCAAGGATGGCGAGACTTCAACTAGCATACTTTGAACTTCATCAGGAGGGACCAGTCCCTGGAGAAGGACATCATGTTTGGTAAAGTTACAAGGTCAGGAAGAAGGAGGAAGACCCTCAACAAGATGGATTGACACAGTGTGCAACAATGGGCTCAAACATAGCAACGATTGTGAGGATGATGCAAGACTGGGCGGCATTTCGTTCTGTTGTACATAGGGTAGCTATGAGTCGGAACTGACTTCACGGCAGCTAACAGCAATAACAACAATTTGTTTTATAGAACGGGAAATGAGTCTTAAGTGGCTTGTCCAAGACCGGTTAGTAACTAAGAGATAAGCGTTGTTTTCGGTTGTTTTTTTAAGTCAGATTTATTCAGGTATAATACACATACAGTAAAATTCACCCTTTTTAGTGTATGATTTTTTTACTAATACTCACAGTTGTGTAACTGCCACTGCAATACATAGAATAATTTCATCAACCCAAAAAATTCCCACCTGCCGTCTTTGTGATCAACACTTCTGTTCAGCCCTCTGCCCTACTAACCACTAGTCTGTAAATAGTTTTGCGTTTTCCAGAGTGTCATATAAATGAAATTATCAGTTTGTAGCCATTTGAGACTGGCTTTTTTCACTAAGCATAATGCATTTGAGATTCATCCATGTTATTGTAAATGTTAGTCACTTGTTCTTTCTTATTGCGGAGTAGTATTCCATTGTATGGATATACCATGGTTTGCTCATCGCTTCACCAGTTGATGGACACTTGAGTTATTTCCAGTTTGGGACATCTATGAGTAAACCTGCTATCAGCAATCATGTACAGGTTTTTGTGTGTACATAAGTTTCTGTTTCTCTTGGATAAATACCCAGAAGCAGGCTTACTGGATTGTATGGTAAGTGCTTACTTCATAAGGAGCTACTAAACTATTTTCCAAAGCGACTGTACCTTTTGCATTCCTGCCAGCAGTGAATGAGAGTTTCAGTTGCTCTACATCCTCACCAGAAGCTGGTATTGTCAAGTCTAGTGTTTTAACCCAAAGCCTTTTTTCTGCTGAATTACACTGCCTCATCTTCACCATGTTTTTTCCATTTTGTCATCCCAAGAGATAAAGAAATGCTTAAAAAAGACCATTGGTTGATGAATATCCTGAAGACATTGTTTCCTAGGCTAGGAGAAGTATACAAAATATTTGGGAGAATATTTTTGAAAAGATATTATTGCAAATAATGAACTGGAGAATATTACTCGAAACATTTCAAAGGTGCATGTAATAGAAATGGTGTAGAGGAATTGGGAGATTGTCTCTATATTAAAAATGGCCTTTGGAGTGAGTTTTCTTAAATGTGTCCATTATATGATGGGTAAAAGGGATAAGGGACTAGATTTTAGAGATGACTTTAGGTGGATAAATAAATCTAACAAGAGGTTAACTAACAGAGCTGAGAAAAGCTTCTCAGAAAGTACTTTTTCTTTCTTCTGACTCCTGACATTCCTGACCTTATCTGTCACTATTATTATCACTATGTCCTAGGATTCTGCCTTCAAATAATTGTCTCTCTTCACTGAAGAAACCTGATTCATTCCTATGTTGACTTCTCACAAATGTTTTTAATTGAATATTTAAGAACTAGTAACTACAGATGATTATTTGGTTATAGCAACTACTTTTTTCATAAAATTACATAAGTTTTTCTTTTTTTTTCCAGAATGGCAAGTCTCATTTGATGTTAAAGCATTATTATTCACTCTCAAAAAATATGTGAGCAGTTTTAATTTATATCTTTTATACATCATACCTGGAATGACATTATTCATGAGCCTAAATTAAAACTGAAGTTTTACTTACTAGGTTGAGAACTGAGTAGATTTAGAAGAAAATACGTTTAAATACTAGCAAAATTAAACTACTCACATAAACTGTCTACTGCTGCATGGCATCAATGAAATATTTACAGATGCATATCTAATAAAATAAATTGTCAATTAATTTTCATGCATTTGACAATATCTCATTTCAGTAATTTTAATAATCCAACATTTTGGCTTTTCTTAATGTTAAACATTTAAAGGAAAGTAACTTTTTTCTTTTTAAAACCAACTAAAAGTTTAATAAAACAAATCTGATACAAATTAATTTTTTTTCTAAGAAATAGTTTAATACCAACTTGTGTGGTGTATGCAGATGCAAAAGCTTGCGTAAACTGCTTACATGGAAGTAGAGCATCTGGTGGCCCATGGAAATGCTTGGCCATCCCCTTAAACGTTTACGCGATGAAACCAAGGGACTGCAGGATTGGTTTATTCACTTTTTGTCTCTGAGAGTCTTGTTGTGCTCAGAATAGTCAATGAATCACAGTTGTATAACTGATGCATGTTATTTTTTGAAAGTAAAAATCGGATCTGAGACTACAGTAAGCTAAGCAAGGCACATAGGGCACAAAATTTAAGAAGACACTTATTCTTAGAGTTGTGCAAGTGCAGAGTCGGCACCTGAAAACCAGTACCTCCTTAAATTTTGCACTCTAGGCTTCTCTCTTGCCTCACCCTAGTCTAGGTGCTGGAAAAATTCTCTAATATGAGTTAATGTTTTAATTAGCTAAATTTTGACAATTCATATTAATGATTCATACAAATACCAAATGAACACTAAAAAAGGTTTTCATTTTCTTTTTTGTATTGGGCAACATTTTAAGCAGTGTCAGTTCTCTGATAAGACTGTATATATGGCTATGTAATATGATATGAGATCACCAACTGATTTACAGAGTTATCAGTATGTATTAAATGAAAAAGAAAACATGACAGTTCTAGTACATTTGAGGCATAGTCACAGAAGATCTTTACTTTCTATATTGTTGTTGTTTGTTAGTTGCCATCAGATCAGTTCTGACTCATGGTGACCTTATGTATAACAGAACCATTGCCCAGTCCTGTGCCTTCTCCGTGATCTTTGAGATGATTGAATCCATTGTTGAGGCTATTGTGTCAGTCCATCTCATTGAAGGTTTCCCTTGTTTCCGCTGACCTCTACTTTACCAAACATGATGTCCTTTTCTAGCTATTGGTCTTTCCTGATGATAGGTCCAAAGTAAGTAAGACGAAGTCTCACCATCCTCACTTCCAAGGAGCATTCTGGTTTTATTTGTTCTTTTGGCAGCCCACAGTATATTCAGTATTCTTCACCAACACCACAATTCAAATGCATCATTTCTTCTTCTCCTTTTTTCATTGTCCAGCTTTCACATGCTTATAAAGCAATTGAAAAGTCCTGTCTTGGGTCTGGTGCACCATAGTTATCAAAATGTTATCTTTGCTTTTTAGAACTTTAAAGAGGTCTTTTGCAGCAAATTTTCCCAGTGCAGTATCTTGTTGGATTTCTTGACTGCTGCTTCCATGGATGTTGATTGTTGATACTTTCTGTATTAGTGTGAGCTTAAAAAAATGTAGTTTAAAAGTTACTCCTCTCTCTTGTGGGGCAGTTCTACTCTGTCCTGTAAGGTCGCTGTGAGTCAGAATCGACTCTATGGCAATGGGTTTGGTTTTTTGGTTTGGTATTATTAGTTAACAAGGACCTCCTATAAATTATGGTCACAAGAAGGCATTTACTCTTGCTAAAATAGCCCCATGATGGCATAATGCAGATATTTCAACCTCCAAGCCACTGGGCCACACTGCCCACGGCATCCAGTTCCCTCTTGGAGTGCTTTGTCTTAAGCCCCTTTGGTTTGCCTGTAGAGGTATCTGCTTACCAGCCTCTTCCATTGTATTTTGCGTGGACACTGACTTATTTTCTCAACCCCCACTGTGGGGTGCACATACCTCCAATGCTCAAAAAA